TAATGAGAGACAAGAACCAAGAGATTTAGTTTAAAGATGTCAAGTGTTGTTTTGTAGGTTAGTTTCATTATGGTCAATTTTAAAGATGTTTTTTTAGTTCTGTACGACAGGCGTCATCTTAAGACATTAATTATTGACAAGCTTGTTGGACTACTGTGATTCATTGAACTCAAGCTATGTTTTCCCAGCATGGAACAAGAAGGGCGGCTTTGTCATTTGAATCTATTATTGGCTCAGTAGGAATCGGTAGAATCTCGGGACAAAAAAATTCATTACAACTCATCGTTATAAAACATCGTATCCTCCTGCACAAATCCTTTGCCGATCAGGAAGAATATAAACTAAAAACTTATATTTAATTTCAAAAAATTATATAGATAAAAAGATCGAATCATTTAACGTTACATCATTAAATTAAAAAAAATAAAAATGAATTATTTATATATTTAAATAGAATCTTAAGAATCTTAAAAGATTCTAATAAAGATCTCAGTCCAAAATTACTCAGATCGATAAGATGTTTAAAAATTTAATATCAATATCGAGTCATTTTGATTTGGTRTTTTTTTGCTCAGATACCACCCAGTTGGGTGTCTGTGTGCTTTAACCTCACCGCTGGATTATTCTTTAGAGGTCGATTCTCCTGAGAATTTCCCTCCCCCTCCCTTCTCAAAACCAACCATGCTAAATTGCAATTCCATACGTGAGTTAGCCGTGTCCTGACTTTGATCAGCCTAGAGGTTGTTTCAGGGTTCGATCTGTGAGTTAGCCATGCCCTGACTTTAATCAGCCCAGAGGTTGTTTCAGGGTTCGATCTGTGGGTTAGCCGTGCCCTGACTTTAATCAGCCCAGAGGTTGTTTCAGGGTTCGATCTGTGGGTTAGCCGTGTCCTGACTTTAATCAGCCTATAGGTTGTTTCAGGGTTCGATCTGTGAGTTAGCCATGCCCTGACTTTAATCAGCCCAGAGGTTGTTTCAGGGTTCAATCTGTGAGTTAGCCATGCCCTGACTTTAATCAGCCCAGAGGTTGTTTCAGGGTTCGATCTGTGAGTTACCCATGCCCTGACTTTAATCAGCCCAGAGGTTGTTTCAGGGTTC